TCACCTGAATGCAACCAAGCCTACAGACAACAAGGGTCTTATTTGTGTTTTTGCTGGTAAAAGACAACAATTACAGTTTCTTGAGCCTCTTTCTGTGCACCATTTTCCCCGCTAGCAGTAGCAAGCATGAAAACCTGTTGAAACTATTCCAGGAATTGGGGAGAGGAGTGGAGGGGAAATAGGGGAGAATAATGGAGTGGGTAAATTCAACTATGATACATTGTAAAAACTTTTGTAGATGTCAAAATGTACCCCTAGTACAACAATAATGAAAAATAAAAATGTTTAAAATTTTTTTTAAAAGAATAGCTTTCCTAAACAGGGAGGTGAATCATTCTGCCTTTATCATCACAGTCTTTGCAGTGCAAGTGAATTTTCTCATTCTCATTGCTCTATAGCCCTAATTAACCTATTACTGCTAACCATACCCTATTTCAATCACCAGAGAATTCCATTTTCCCTTCCCTCTACCTATCTTAATCTCAGCTACCTTTCAAGATCCAACTTAAATTCCTTCTCTCAGCTCATGCTGATTCCATGCCTCTTTGAAGCTGCTTTTAGCAGCCCACAGTGTCATAGTAAATCCCTCCTAAATCTCAGTTCACTTACTTCAGTCCCCAGTGCCAACCTGTAAGACTCTTAGGGACAGGGACCAGAAAGAGCAAGGGACTTGGGTTCTAAACCAAGCTTTATCTTATATTAGCTTTGTGATCTTGGTCAAGGCATAAAACTTCTCTGAAGCTCTCTTTGCTTTGCCCCCAGAGTGCCAGGGGAATTAAATAAGATAACATTCATTAATCTCTAAGAATCTAGAGATTCTCTTCACCATTAGACACTCAAAAATTCTTTGTTCTTAGCCTGGTGTGATAGCTCAAACCTATAATCCCAGCTACTTAGGAAGCAGAGATTGGGAGGATCATGGTTCGAGGTCAACCTAGGCAAAAAGACCCCATCTCATCAATTAAAAGCTAAATGTGGTAGTATGCACCTGTTATCCCAGCTACATGGACAGAGTAAATTGGAGGATCATGATCCAGGCTGACCCAAGCAAAAACATGAGACCTTATCCCAAAAAATAACTAAAGAAAAAAGGGGTGGGGTATGTCTGCCTAGCAAGTGTGAGGCCCTGAGTTCAAACTCCAGAACCACTAAAAATAAATTCTTTATTTTACACTCCTTCTATCTGCCCACTCTTTCTTCTTCATTATTCTTCTAAATTACCTATTGCATGTAGCTCAATGCTTGGCATATTATCAGTATTCAATAAATAATCTACTTTTTCAGTACAAATTCCTTTTGATCCTTCAAAGGGCACGGGTGATGTCTGTTCCATTCAACTGGTGTCCACAGTCTTGTGCCTGACATAAAGGAGGCCCTGAATAATATTTGTTGAGTGGATGAGCTATTTGCTTTAGGGATTCAGAGAAAGAGTACAGGAAAGTGCCAACCTCCAAGATGAACAAAGGAAGTTCTATAAGGGATGGAGAATGGTGGCTTCCTATGGGACACTCTTTCTGTTAAGAAAGGAAACAGAGTGTTTTTATGCTACCTTTTGCAGGAGCTGGATGAAAAAATAGAGGGAGCATTTATAGAGAGCAATAGGGTCTTTAAAGCGAGAAATCCCTAAAAGTACTCAGAGTCTGATAGAGAAATGCACTAGATACACCTCAGATACACATTCTCTTCTGCAGTAGAGTTGCATTTTACTTGCTGGAAAAGAACAACAATTCACTTGTAGCACAGGAAGAAAGCTGTTGAAAATCAAAGGCAAGCAGCAGGCACAGACCTATAAGCGAGTCCCACTTCTCCATCCCCTAGACAGAAAACCTGGGAAGAGAGCACTTTAAATTCTGCTCTGCCATTTTCTGGGAGAAGATGATTCTATCATAAATTATTAAATATTGCATTTAAGCCTCATAAATAAGAAACTCTGATGGAAACGGTACATGTTAGATCCGTTCAGCAACTATAATTTCTGTCTGACTCCCTCGATCTGTCACCCTTCATCTACGTTGGAGAATTTCTACTTCATTATAGGCAATTGAAGGTCTCAATCAGTTGCCTGAGAAAAGTATTTTATGTCCCAAAGGTAATCTAATTTCTCCAACCAAGGATGTACCCAGGACTCACTGAGCATATTGACAGAGATAAATATGTGCTTTGAACAGATCTGGGGGCGTTGCAGTCTCACTCGATCTAGAGATGGGTACTCAGCCCAGCCATGGTGAGCTCCTTACTAACACCTGTTGGCATTGATTTCCATCACAGCCAACAAGCTAAGCCTTAGCAAACTCATAATAGGTATACCTGCCTGGGGCACTTTTTTATAGCTGATGAGACCACACACACACACACACACACAAGGACTCAAAAGTCCAAAACCTGATATTATTCCCATGCTACAGAAACTAAGGCCCAAAATAACTACAGTTCCACATGTGGAAGTTGGAAGAGCTTGAATATAAAATGTAGTAGATCAGACTTCAAAAAGTGTCAAATTTCAAACTCCACCTGCACTCATGTTGACACTGTAGAAAAAGAAGGAAGTAAGAGGGAAGGAATGGAGCTGGTTTGGGAAGGGAAAAAGAGGGCTGATTCTCATCCTACCCAGCCAGGGCTTGGGGCTGCATTCCTTCAAGGGAAGCTGACCAGTAAGACCAGGTAGGTTCTGCCCTATTCCCACACAGGGATATTTATTGTGTGACCTCTACAAAAGCTATGGGGTGGAGTGAAAACTTCTGCTCACCATTCAGCATTCCCCTGATCTGAACCAAGCCATAGGCTATATGGCTAAGGGAAGGTTGCTCAAAGCATTTCCTATCAAAATCATTTCTATTACCTCAGAGAAGTCACAGCTACCCTGGGGAACCAGTAAGGCAGGGATGGGGGGGTGGGGGGGTGGATAATTCCTGGTCCTCCTAAAGGCTTTGAACCCTGAGGGCAGAAGTCTGGAAGTCATCTCTAACTGGTCATAGACATTCTCCATGCCTCAGTTTCTTTTTATAAAAAGATGACATACTGAGTTAAATATAGTGTTCTCTCAAAAATTCATGTCCACCCAGAACCTACAGAAATTACCTTATTTGGAAATAGTCTTTGGCGATATAATCAAGTTAAATTGACATTTTAGGGTGGTCCCTAATCCAGTGTGACTTGTATCCTTACAAGAAGATGAGACAAAGACACACAGAATGCATCAGGACAATAGAGAAAGAGACTGTAGTGATGCAGATGCAAGCCAAGGAATACCAAGACCTGCAAGTAACCCATCAAGGGCCAGGAAGAAGCAAAGAAGGATTCTTGCACACACACTGAACCATCAAAGGGAATATGACCCTGCTGATACCTTGCTTTCATTCTTCTAGCCTGCAGAACTGTGAGAGAATAAATTTCTCTTGCTTTAAGCCACAGTTTGCAATAACTTACAACAATAGCCATGGGAAACTAACAGAGATGAAGAAAAGATTACCCATCCAAACTTTCTGAGGAGGTTGTAACAAGACCCCAAAACACATTCAATTTTGAAAAGCACAAGTGTTATATAAATTCAGGATAACATTACAAAATAGTCCATGGTTCTGGGGAGTCCACACAAGGCTTCATAAAGAGCTTACCAGAAGAACTGATGATTAGAGACCCTCTGGGATGATAATTTGATTTTGTTTCATTTTTCTGCAATCTTACTTTTAATAAATGAGGATGAGTATGATGTCAGTTGTGGTAGATGTAATAATGGTCCATATTCCAAAGATGTCCATATTCCAATCCCTAGTACCTGTGAATGTTACCTTACATGGCAAAAGAAACTTTGCTGGCATGATAAAAGACCTTGAAATGGGGAAATTACCCTATTTGAATTATCCTATTTGAGTGGGTCAATATAATCACAAGGGTCCTTATAAGATGGATGCAGGGAGGTAAGAGTCAGAGTATGTGTGGTGATGGAAGCCAAGCTCAGAGAAACAGATTTGATAATGCTACGCTGCTGGTTTTGAAGATGGTGTTAGAGTCTGTGAGCCAAGGAAAGTAGGTAGCCTCTACAAGCTGAAAAATACAAAAAAAGAGATTCCCCCAGCAAGAGTGCAACCCTGACAAGCCATTTTGGAATTCAGACCTCGTGGATTATAAAATCATAAATTTGTATTGTTGTAGGCCACTACATTCTGGTGATTTGTCACAGCAGCAATAGGAAATTAATACACCAATCAAACCAGTTGGTCTCAAAATGAATGTAACAAGAGAGGGACAGACTCCAGAGAACTCTGAAAATTCTGAGAACCTGTCATGATCTTTTGTAATCAACACCAAAAGGATTTTCCGGGAGGCATGTGCCCTTTAGTTGAATAATTTTGCATTTCCTCCATCCTCTCAGTGTCCACAAGAAAGAGGTCATCCTAAAAGGGGATCCATAGCTTTAAATTCCCTGGGCCTGAATTACTGATGTTGGGGGGGTGTTCTCAATAACTGAGCTTCTGCATGCCACTACACTAAAGGCCTGACTATCCCACATTCAAAGGAAAGTCCAGTCACTCTGGCTCTCTAGAAGGAACCTAGCTCCTATATATATGAAGGACAGCATGGCTCTCATATACTCAAGAAATGCTTTAAAAGCCCACATCAACACTGTCCCTCTCAATTACACACACTTCTCCCAACTCATAGCTTAAACAAGAAACCCCCTACCCGATCTGGCCAACCTGAGACTCCATATACAAAGGGAGAGCTTCCATATGTGAGCAAAATTCTAAAGATCACTGACAAGGGCAGATTTGCTGCCTTTCTAAGACCAGCAGTAAGCAGGAAACTGTGTACTGGCCAGTTCATCCTATTGACTTCATACAGATTTCCTAAGTAGTGATATTGGGATTTCCTAATAGTTAAATTAGGAGCAGGCTCAAAGAGAACTAAACAGAAGTCTAAACTCATTTTCTTCCCTCCTTTCAGCCTCCCCAACCCTGACATACACACAGAATAATGTTTGTCTCTGCGTCTACTGATAGATTTGGTACCTGGCACTGAGTATGGAGTTGGAATATCTGCTGTCATGAACTCACAACAAAGTGTGCCAGCCACCATGAATGCCAGGACTGGTGAGTAGGAGGATGGTTAACAGGTGACCAGGTTAGCCTGTAAGCCTGAGCATCCACAGAGGCTTGTTCTGCCAGGATCAGTCAGAAGTCACTGCCCCCAGTGGACAGGGCCCTGGTGTTAACTCAGCCCATTGACAACAGTCACCTTATGCCTGTCCTCTGACATCCGACATGCAGGATAGAGTCCCATTCTCCTCCACATAGATCTGTGCTGGTCCCCCAGACCTGAAGGGTTGCCCAAGCTGTGAGAAGCAGAGGTAAAAATTCCCGATACCATGGTGCTGTAAAGGTTATATTTCTACCTAGACCACCCCATATAATGCAGAATGAGATGTCCTCAGTCTGTATGCAAAGACCCTCAATAAGGCCATTGACACAGATGTCTAGATTTAGAAGCAACCCAGTAAGTCCAGAAGCAGTAGAGAAGTCCACTTGAGACCTTTGCAGCTCCAGGATCCAACCCTATTACTTCTAAGTCCTTGGTAAATTTCAAAGTCACTCCAATAGCTTAGATAGAAACAGCCTGGGCTGGGCTAGACTGGAGATTTGAGACCAATCCCTGTCCCCAAGGTTCAGTCTAGCATAGACAATCTCACTACAGAAACACATGGACAGGACTCTCCACGGGTCCTCAGATCCAAATACCTATAGACCCATGGTTAGGCCAAGTCAAAATAACCTCAGGGACAGAGAAGGAAGGGATCCAAGGGAAACTACTGATGTAGGAATGGCCTAACCCTTCTTGGCAGTGGCTCCTATTTTGCCTGGTGTGCTTACTGAGAGAGGCTGAGTGATGATGAATATGAAGGGCTTGAAAATCAGCAGTCAGTTTAGTTCCAGAGGTGGATATCATCCAGTAGTATTGGAGCTAATAATGTCCTTCTGTAAATTGTCCATCTGTGTGCCATCTTTCAAAGAAGCTGTTTAACAAAATGTGAGATAAGTGTTAGCAATGGCAAGCTAGTGCTAATGGTCAACAGATTTGCTCTTAGCTGGAAAGCACAGAAAGTGACCCAATAAGTACTGGCTATCTGAGAAACCTGTGTAAAATGGGCCACTTGTGTTGATCCACAGAACTCGATAGTCCCCGAGACCTCATGGTGACAGCCTCCTCGGAAACCTCCATCTCCCTCATCTGGACCGAGGCCAGTGGCCCTATTGACCACTACCGAATTACCTTTACCCCATCCTCTGGGATTGCTTCTGAAGTCACTGTGCCCAAGGACAGGACTTCATACACACTGACAGATCTAGAGCCTGGAGCAGAGTACATCATTTCCATCATTGCTGAGAGAGGTCGACAGCAGAGCCTGGAATCCACTGTGGATGCCTTCACAGGTACCAGGGTGGCAGAAATCCTAGCTATGTTCAAGTATTAATGGATCTTAGTGTGAAAGGTCATCCAGGCAACCCACTTTTCCAAAGCCCCATTTCCTTCAGAGAAAAGAGAAAAAAAAAGATGGATAGGGGAAAAAAAGAGAGGGAAAACTAATACATGCATCAAGAGGGATTGGATGGCAGTAAAGGGGAGAGGTGAGCAAGGATGTCATATGCCTGAACATTTGTGTCTGGTTTCTATAACCTGAACATAGTAATTAATCTGTCCATTTTATCCCTGCCTGCACTAAATCAGTGGACATTCTGAGGATCCATGTGATCATGTCAAATTCCTTCCAGGATAGAAATTTTACATCAGTAAATGTATCAGTATTATGAATAACTCACGGAGGTGTTTTTAGTTCTATCAGAATTCATTTTCAGTAAATAGCTCCAGAAGAATAGAGTGGACAGGTCTGAAAAGTGGGGAGATGGTGCCTCTGGCACGTGGGTAAAGATGCAGGCCTCGTTATCAAGGAAGGCATGTTCCTTTAGTCAAGTGACTCTTCTAGCCCAATGGCCTACCACACCACAAGTGTTTCAGAACTGTCCATCTTTTCTGCTTTTCAGGCTTCCGCCCTATCTCGCATTTGCACTTTTCTCATGTGACCTCCTCCAGTGTCAATATCACCTGGAGTGACCCATCTCCTCCAGCAGACAGACTCATTCTGAACTACAGCCCCAGGGATGAAGAGGAAGAGATGACAGAGGTCTCCTTAGATGCTACCAAGAGGCATGCTGTCCTGACAGATCTGCAGCCAGCCACCGAGTATATAGTGAACCTGGTGGCTATTCATGGCACAGTGACCTCTGAGCCCATCATGGGCTCTATCACCACAGGTAAGGCTGAAAGTCTTGACAGCAGTTGGTGAATGGGTTCTCCCAGTAGTCTTTAACAATTCATTGAAATTTATAAAGGGAAACACTCAAGCAGTAGGAGACTGCCTCTATGCAAACTGTTCTGGAATGGTTACTTCTTCCAGTGATGCATAAGATGGGAAATTCTCATTTGGAAATGTCCTGAGGAGGTCAAGACTTAAATGCATTGATCCAAAGATCCACCAGCTTAAGAGAAAGCTAGTCTCCAAAGGAATCCCCTGAGAGTGAAGAGACACTTGTTCCTATTCTGGAGAGCCATCTCCTGACTGCTCAACTAGATCATGGATGCAAATGATGCTTCCTTAGAATCACACAGAACTAACATGCAACCATAGCACTCAGAAAACGGGGTTCATTGGCACATTGTTTGGAAAACACAGACATTCTGCAATGAATTGGGCCATTTCCATTGTGTCATTCCCAAGTACAATCTCCAGTATGAGGTGTATGCGCATAAGAACAATGTGTTCATATAGTTCCTTACATACTGAGAACTCACAATCTGGACAAGTGGATTAAGCTCTTAGTTGATTCAACCCTGTGATTCCCTAGTGGTCAAAAAAATGCACAAATGAAATACAATTTCGGAAAATGGATTTGCTCTGGGCTTGTGCTCTGAAATCCCTCTATAGTCAATAGGCAGTTTTTCCAAATTGAACCAAAAGTGGGTGGCTGCTAAAAAAATAAGAGATCACACCAGAGTTGGGTTTTTCCAAGAGAAGTTTCCCTGAGGGAAAATAACTATGTTATTCCCAATTCAAAGCAAAACATACTGACTTAAAAGAAAGTTCCTAATTGGCTTTCATATAGGTAATATTCACTGCACAGGTGCAGACCTTGCCAGCTTAGCTTTTTGTTGTTAAAATTTTTATGAACATGGATTTGGACATATCTACAATACTTTGGATGAGATCATGGTTTTAAGGATGCACCAATACATAGCAGAGTCATGTGTGCCTCTGGGATACCATTGGCACCATTGGTTAACATAAAACTAGGGATAGAAATCCCTTTTTCAAACCATGATTTCTGTCTTTTTCCCATAACCACCTGGGTCTTCATAGGAATTGATCCCCCCAAAGACATCACCATTAGCAATGTGACCAAGGACTCAGTGATGGTCTCCTGGAGCCCTCCTGTTGCATCTTTTGATTACTACCGAGTATCATATCGGCCCACCCAAGGTAATAAAGTGATTTTATTTCTTAAAGATGAATGGGATTTGGAGCTGGATGAAGATTATTATGAGAAAGCTATCCTATCCTGCAGGACAGCTATCCCAGCTTGCCTTTTGCCTCCAGCCTGTGGCATGCCCCCTCCAAATGAGAGCGTGTCAAAAAGGAGCAGCCAAGAAACCCAGTAGTCACCAATTCCTCTCAAAATAAAGCTTGATTAAATTCACCCCAAAAATCAGGCCCTTCAGCAGCAGAGATAATGGTCAGCATTATGTAGGCTGTACAATGGGAAACAAAGAGCTCTAAAAGATTTTGCCATGAGCCAGGGCCATGTGTACTTTCCTGATAGAGTAAAGGCTAAGACTAGAATCTGGGGGATGGCTAAAGACTCAGCAGAACCAGATGGCACTTTAAGGCAGGGATCCATGGTAGTATGGTCCTAATTTTGCCACTCTAGCCAAGTTGTGAGTCAGAGGAAGCTGGCCCAGACTCACGCGCATCCTGCCAGCTATTGCTAGTGCATGTGGCATTGTTAAGCAAGTGAGGCATGCTCACTTCAGCCAGGCACAGGACAGCATTTCAGGTTACCCTGTCTCTGGGCTGCATAGAACTCTCTGCAGCTATGCCCTCTATACTGTCTTAACATAACTTCTCAAAGACTAGCTTCTTTAAAAAAAAAAAAAAACCATGTAATACTTAGTTCATTTCTCTTTGCTCGAAGAAGTCCATAAAATAAAAGGGTGGGACCAGTATGCAAGGTCCCTTCAAACTGCCACATTCCCAACCTATGAGCCACTTACCTTCCCTCCCCACTGCATGCTGGGCCAACATCCATCTGTAATTCATAACACAGCGTCCTGTGTAGGCTGTGCCATGGGCCACACTGAGAGAGAGATGCTGAACTTTAACAGTGGATTTTGTCCTTCCTTAGTGGGACGGCTGGACAGCTCAGTAGTGCCCAACACTGTGACAGAATTCACCATCACCAGGCTGTACCCAGCTACTGAATATGAAATCAGCCTCAACAGTGTGCGTGGCAGGGAGGAGAGCGAGCGCATCTGCACCCTTGTGCACACAGGTAGGCACAGCAACCTGTCATATCTGGTCAGGACACAGGCTGAGGACCTGTAACAAATACAAGAAGCAGTGTGAAGTTGTTCTGAGATCTGGGGTTCCATTCCTGGGCCTCCTCTGAGTCACTATGTCCTGCAGGACAATTTGTACCCCACGAATTGTACCATCTAATAAGAGGAGTTTAGAATTATTTGGTTTAGGTCAAGAACTTTCATGGAACTTACAGTATGAATAGCACCCTTTCCTTTTTTTTTTTTCTTTTTTCCTTTTTTCTGTTTTTTCAGCATTACTGGTGTTTGAACTCAATGCTTCATGCTTGCTAGGCAGGTGCCCTACCATTTGAGCCCCACCCCCAGCCAATTTTTGTTTGCTGTTATTTGGATAGGGTCTCTAGCGTTTTACCCAGGGCTGGCCTCAGACTGCAATCCTCCTACCTATACCTCCCAGGTAGCTGGGATTACAGATATGAACTCAGTTTGTTTGTTAAGACAGGGTCTCATGTTCTTTTGCCTGGGCTGGCCTTAAACAGTGACCCTCCTAATCTCTGCCTCCCAGGTAGCAGGGATTACAGGCTGCACCACCACACCCGGTGTTGAATAGTGCCCCTGCAAAGATGCATGGTGGTGGTGAATTTCAGAGCACACATCTGAATCACCCTGATTTTAAAATATCATCTGATTTTTTAAAAGACACAGAGAACATCATTCTGAGTGAGGTTAGCCTGGCTCAAAAAACCAAAAATCGTATGTTCTCCCTCATATGTGGACATTAGATCAAGGGCAAACACAACAAGGGGATTGGACTATGAGCACATGATAAAAGCGGGAGCACACAAGGGAGGGGTGAGGATAGGTAAGACACCTAAAAAACTAGCTAGCATTTGTTGCCCTTAACGCAGAGAAACTAAAGCAGATACCTTAAAGCAACTGAGGCCAATAGGAAAAGGGGAACAGGAACTAGAGAAAAGGTGAGATCAAAAAGAATTAACCTAGAAGGTAACACCCATGCACAGGAAATCAATGTGAGTCAATGCCCTGTATAGCTATCCTTATCTCAACCAGCAAAACCCCTTGTTCCTTCCTATTATTGCTTATACTCTCTCTACAACAAAATTAGAAATAAGGGCAAAATAGTTTCTGCTGGGTATTGAGGGGGGGGAGCAGGAGGGGGTGGAGTGGGTGGTAAGGGAGGGGGTGGGGGCAGGGGGGAGAAATGAACCAAGCCTTGTATGCACATAAGAATAATAAAAAAAAAGTACTATACAATTAAAAAAAAAGACATAAAAACTCAAAAAAAAAAAAAAAGACACAGAGAAGAAAACGTCACCTCAGAGAAGAAAAGAGTTGTTATTCCAGTAACATGAAATTGGAGTCATGAGATTCTTCATTACATATGGCCAGAAACCACCAAATAGCTGCACTTGCTCTTACTTTATGATCCAAGGAAGTAGGCATCAACGTGGCCATAATTCCCTTACCTGTGGTAAAGTAGTGGCAGCAATGCTGCTTCATGTGGCATCAGAGTTGCCTGCAAGGACACCATGTAATCCATATTCTCTAACAGGCCCACCTATATGACCCAGGTCTCCCCTGCATACTCAATGAGTTCCTATGTGATGAGCCAGAGGAAGTGAGGTGGGAGGGAACAACCAGCTTGCAATATGAGAAAGTGAGGGAGAGAAATCTTCCTCCCATTTCTTCCTCTGAAAAACAAGCCCTTGGATGAGCACAAGATCAGGGTGCCTTCAGTAGCTCTACCACCACTCCTTCTCTGCAAGTGTACCATCCAGAACTAGCAAAGATTTGCTGTAGTAACCACTAGAAGACATAGCCAAAGTTTTCTTTCCTCAGCCTCCAGAACAAATAGCCTAGTTAAGCCATCATTTCCATAGCTCATAGGAAAAATCCACCTTGCTTCGTTCAGAAAGCACCTGGGTATCTCATGTTGCTTAATTTCCCTGGAGAATGGCATTTCCTGAACAAGAGAAACGTGCCTTGGAATGCCTCACTGCTTTTATAGACGTTCTCCCAAGCTCAAAACAGCATCTTTTGGAAAATGGCCCAAAACAATTCTTTCAGAAACATAAAAAATTATTCCTCTAGAGAAAGCATAAAATACTCTAATATTTCCCAGTTTCCTTCGAGGTTTGTGACTACAGATAACCCACTTGCCTTTTTTCATGCAATCTGATCCTAACCCTCAAATTATCACTAAAGTATTGGTCAATAAATGTTGACCAAAAGAAATGTTCAGTGAGCCATAAGAAGCCCTCCTCCTGCCTTCCTGAAAATCCCAGAAAGTGATGGTAAATAAATTATACTTTTTCTTATTGAAGACAATCAAAAGGATTTTAAGAGCCTCCTACTCCCAAGGTTAAAGAGGACAGACTGAGGTCAAAACTCATTCCTTAGATCCTTGGCCATAAGCTGCAAGTATCCCTAAAGCAGATATTCAACAGTGAATGAACACAAACTACCCTCCTTCGGGTTTAAGCAGAGCTATTTTGGCAACTTCTCATCACTAAATGGTCCTCAGAAGTGTCTTTGTTTGTTTGCTATAGACTTCATATCTATGATCTTACAACTTTTAGAAATTACTATGCCTTCATTGTATCATGTATGTCTCAGAGAAATCAAGTCAGCTATAGTCTAATAAGGGTTGCATTCAAAGAATTCTTTGAAGGCACAGATTATAGATAAAATTTAAATTTTAAAATTATAAAGATATTTTATATTTTATGAGTTTGTGATGAGGAACATAAGCAAAGGGGAAAAAAAGCAAAAGAGCAACAGCAAAAACCCAGTGCGTTCAGGAACAGCTTAACAGTGAATATGGTTCCCAAAGAAAACCACAAGCCCTAGGTTATGTTAATACCTAAACTGTTGAAATGACATCCATTTCCAACTTTATGGCAGGGAAGCACAGTAATAAAGCAAAGGCTTAAAGAATGAGTGAGAAGAAATAAAGAGATGGTCCAAAGACAAGCAAATTCTCCCTCAACAGGCACTCTTGGCCTCCCTAAGCCTAGGGGATTCCTGGGCTGGTCCAAAGTGAGGCTGTGAGAAGTGAAGCGAGATTTCAATAACAGCTATGACTGGGTGCATCCTACACTCCATGCGTCACTCCACAAGTCCTCACTGAGTTCCTCCTAACTTCCTGTCCTACACTTCCATCACACTTTCTGACGTTCGTCAACAAAGATCTTTCTGCAAGTCACACCCTTGCATTTTTGAAGATTCACATAGATTAGGAAGTATGACTATTTCATTAACTAAAGAATTGTAAAGATTTCTACATGGTCTTTGTTACTCCAAAGCAAAGATTTAAAATACAACAGAATGCCTTGAAATCCTCCATCGCACTTGCTCTACGTATGAGGTTAATAGGCCAGGCATGGTGGTGCATTTCTGTAATCCCAGCTACTGAAGAGGCCAAGGTAGAAGGATTGTGGTTCAAGACCTGCCCAGGCAAAGTTAATGTGAGATCCTATATAAAAATCAAACTGAAAGCAAAAGGACTATGGAGCGTGACTCAAGTGGTAGAACACTTGTTTATCAAGCTTAAGGCCTTGAGTTCAATCCTCTATACTGTCAAAAAAAAAGTTAATGAATGAATTAAAAAGAAGAGCCAGAGATAATCAGTAGACAACTGGATACTTGAGAGAAAGGAAGAAGGGGAAAAAGGAAAGAGGCTGATGGGTCCAGAAGGGAGAAAAGAAAGTGGTCTCCATCCACGTTGTGTAGTGAGTGCACATCATGAGTGAAACTCCTGGCCATTTGGTCATTTGCTGCAGCCCCTCTTACCTCTACCTGATACTCTCCTTCTGTTTCAGCCATGGGTAACCCTGTGAATCTGACTGCTACCAATATCACTCCCACGGAAGCCCTGCTGCAGTGGAAGGCTCCAACGGGAGAAGTGGAGAACTACGTCATTGTTCTCACACACTTTGCAGGTGAGTGTCTGCAGGCCTAGGCATCGACAGGTGAGGACGGTGGGGACTGAGATCATAGACCAGTATAGGAGTGAAGAGACAAAAACATTTTTCCCATCTAAGAGACAGATTGGAAATTTCTGTGCTTCAATTAAACTATAAACCTCTCAGGATATCCCCAAATTCAGCAAACTATCCACTACACAAATTGGCAAAGATGAATCTGTAACCAAGGGCAAACACCAAAAACAGAGAAATAATGCCAGGAAGACAAAACTCAGAATTGAGCTAAGATTTTCCCCAAAGTGCTACAGACAAGAAAGTAAAATTTTCTAGATATTTACAGAGCAAGAAAAACACTGAAGTTGTGGGACAAGATTGGATCCGATAACATGCATTCACAGGTGACAAAGGATTCCAAATTGCTAAACTTTTCTGTTGTTTTGGTCTTTTTAACACAAAAGGTTGAACCAATGTGAAATATTGAATTTCAATGTCTTCTTCATCTTGCTTGCTCACCTTACAGCATTTAAAATTGAATAAAGAAGCCCAAAATAAAGTAGCATTGCATACTCCAAGTCTCTAGGCTTAGGAAAATTATTTCCCTGCTTAAATTAAACATGAGATCCAGGACTGTTGTGGATTCCAGAAAGCAGAATGCAGGAAGATTTTTCAAAAGTGGAAGAGAAAGCCAGTTGTGTACGCTGCAAAAAAACCCTCAACTTATTGTCACAGCTTGGGAAAGCAAAAACTGTAACAGACTATCAAACCAAAAGGGAAAAGAATTAGTGGTTACTATACATTAGCACAGGTTGACTACGAATAAGTTTCATCAGAACACTTCATGGTCTTTTTTTTAATTGGCAAATCTGTTAGCACATTTGTATTTCAGCAAGGCATTAGAAAATTCTGTGTATCATTTAGTCCTTAGTTAAGATGAAAAAATGCAATAGGAATCATATTTGTAGTTAGCTGGAACTATAGCCGTTCAAATGACCCTTCTCAAAGAATGGGTATCACTACTCTGGGTACATCCTAACGCCTAGGGGTTCATGCACAATCCATCTCAACTCCTACCTCCCTCCATGCGTGTCACAGCCCAGCATTTCTTAACTCTGACAGTGCTTTCCCACGCCTCTGCACATGCTGCCTCCTCCACCAGGAAATTCTCTCCCAGCAGGTCTGCTTAGGAAACCCAACCTGCAAGCCTTAATTTCAACACTGTACTTTCTGTCAATGGTTCCCTGATCCCTTAAGGCAGCCAGACACACCTGCTGTCAGGTACAAGGCACACAACTCTATCATAGCAATTCACAGCTCATTCAACAAACACTTTTGATACTCTCCCATGGGCCATATATGCTGTAAGGTGATAAGATTCAAAACCAAAGTATGAGTTCTTATCTTCATGAAACTCACTGCGAGTGATGAGGCAGAGCAGTAAAGAGTTACAACGAGGTGTGAGCAATGGTAGGATCCTGGGCAAGCACTGGACACAGTGAGCCACATCTGACAGGCCACTATGATTTAGGGCCAGGGTGGTGAGGGGAATAAAGGAAGGAGGTCTTGGATAAAGTGAAAGAACCTGAAGAGAAAGGGGATTCTAAGACAAAGAGCAGTCTTTCTGCATTTGCCGAGGAATGAGAGCTCATGAGGAGTTTGAGGAACAGTCACAATTTGCTATGACTGCAGTGATTGATGGCAGTATGTCACAAAGAAGAACATAAAAAGATAAGGACTAGATAATGAAACACACTGAAAGCTGTTGATTAATAGGGGGAAGGGAAAGTAATAGAGGTGGTTAATCTGATTAAAACACAATACATTCATGGGTGAAACACCGTGGTGAAACCCCTTTGAACAATGAATATACACTTGAAAAATGAAAGCCTAGAATGTAAAACAGACCCAAATAGGGGGGTGGGTGCCAGTGGGAGGGGGAGAAAGGTAAATGGAGAGGATGAAGGAGGAAGAATATGGTTTACGTACTTTGCATACTTGTATGAAAATAGAGCAATGAAACTTGCTGAAATTATTTTAAGTAGGGGTAGGGGGTGAAGAAGAATGATGGAAGGAATGAATCTAACCAAGATACACTAAAAATGTATGGAAATGATGATAAATCTCCCCCTCTAATATATGCTAATAAAAATGTTTTAAAATTTTTTAGTTAAAAGATGTACAAATTAAATGAAACAAGCATACACCATCTCTACCAATAAAGGAAATGCAAATTAAAACCACACTAATAATAGATGCTAATAATAGCCATCATTAGCAACACCACCAACAGGTGTTGGCGAGAATGCAGGGAAAAAAGGAGCCCTCTTACACTGTTGGTGGGAATGTAGACTAGTACAACCACTCTGGAAAAAAATTTGGAGACTTCTTAAAAAGCTAAACATTGATCTACCATATGATCCAGCAATACCACTCTTGGGAATATACCCAAAAGACTGTGACACAGGTTACTCTAGAGGCACCTGCACACCCATGTTTATTGCAGCACTATTCACAATAGCCAAGTTATAGAAACAGCCAAGATGCCCCACTACTGATGAATAGATCAAGAAAATGTGGTATCTATACACAATGGAATTTTATGTAGCCATGAAGAAGAACGAAATGTTATCATTTGCTGGTAAATGGATGGAATTGGAGAACATCATTCTGAGTAAGTTTAGCCTGGCCCAAAAGACCAAAATTCGTATGTTCTCCCTCATATGTGGACATTAGATCAAGGGCAAACACAACAAGGTGATTGGACTTTGAGCACATGATAAAAGCGAGAGCACACAAGGGAGAGGTGAGGATAGGTAAGACACCTAAAAAACTAGATAGCATTTGTTGCCCTCAATGCAGACAAACTAAAGCAGATACCTTAAAAGCAACTGACGCCAATTGGAGAAGGGGCCCAGGAACTAGAGAAAAAGTTAGATCAAGAAGAATTAACCTAGAAGGTAACACACATGCACACGAAATTAATGTGAGTCACCTCCCTGTATAGCTATCCTTATCTCAACTAGCAAAAACCCTTGTTCCTTCCTATTATTGCTTATACTCTCTCTTCAACAAAATTAGCGATAAGGGCAAAATAATTTCTGCAGGGTATTGAGGGAGTTGGCGGGGAGAGGGAAAGGGCGAGGTGTGTGGTAAGGGAGGGGGTGGGGGGAGGGGAGAGAAATGACCCAAGCATCGTATGCACATATGAATAATAAAAAAATTAAAAAATAAATAAGTGAAACAAATATAGAAATGACTTAGAACAGTTCATAGTACACAGTAGCTACATGTTAAATAAGTCAATTACTACCTTCACCATTGTATGTATTATTCTATTACACCCAATAAAACTCGATTGTAGTAGATATGAATAACTTATTGTTAAAAGATATTTAGGTTCCTTACATTTTATAGAAATAAACAATGCCAGGTTTGACATATTTTGTGCATAAAACAGTTTCTGTATTTTGCGTTATATCCTTAGGAGATATTTCCAGAATTGAGTTACCAAATAAAATGAAATGCACCTTGGGGAAAAAAGAAAAATAAGGGTTGGGTGTGGTAGTTCATGCTTGTAATCCCAGGAGGTGTAGGTAGGAGTATGTTAAAAAAAAAAAAAAACCAAGATCTTATCTGAAAAATAACTAAAGCAGAAAAGGGCTGAGGGCATGGCTCAAGGGGTAAAGTGACTGCCTAGGAAGCTCAAGGCCCTGGGTGTAAACCTCAGTACTGGCAAAAAATATAAAATAAAAGCAGGAATTGTGTATATCCTTCCAAAAGATTAGTTTGGATTGTTTTAATCTGATTGTATACCTTTGAACCACAAGAAACTTGAAACACTGAATGATTAAAAGTGTTTCAACTGACCAATAGAGCACTTGGCTCTGATCTAATGAACAGTTTTAACAACAGCTTGAATGAATTCAGAGATGATTTGTGTATAAAACAAAACTGTGATTGACAGAATTCAAATTCAAAAATACTTTAATAAACTAAAACAGTGGTCCAAAACTCAATCAACACGCAAAATGCAATAGAAATAAAGGCAAAGCTCTGCCCATGAGCAAAAAAATCAACTCTGCAAGATTGGATGGGGTGGCAATAAACAATGTCTTTGATTAGTAATAATCTCAGCATGTGACAACAATAATATATGGCTGTCCAAAAACCTAATGGATTAATCTAAATGGCAGAAATAGAAGAGACTGATATGTTTGTTTCATTGATGAGTGCATCTCAATTGTTCTCAATTCTCTTCCAAGTTTTGCATTTCAGGAAGGACACTGATAAATTGTTACCTATCCAGAGAAAAGCAGTCAGCATTGTGAAGATTTTTAGAATGGTCACATAAATAGAATGGAAGCTGGGAGGGGAGCTGAATTTTCTCAGTCTAAAGAGGAGAGCACTCGATTAGGAAGAATGCTGGGGAGGAAAAGGATTTATCTTGTTCTTTGTAACTCCAGAGATCTGAGTAGAAGATATAAAGGCAGTTTGGTTTCCATAGAAGGAATATTTTTCTTAAGATGTAAAAAGAGATGAAAGGGGATCCTTGTAGGGAATAAGATGCTAGGCTTGATAACCTATAAAAAGAGTTTTTCCAAGCCGGGTGCTGGTGGCTCATGCCTGTAATCCTAGCTACTTGGGAGGCTGAGAGGATCACAGTTCAAGGCCAGCCAGGGCAAATAGTTTGCAAGACCCCATCTACAAAGTAACCAGTAGAGCACCTTCTTTGCAAGCATGAAGCTCTGAGTACAAACCCCAGTCCCACCAAAAAAAAAAAAAAAAAAAAAAGAGTTTTTCCAAAATTCTCTAGCACTGGATCTTTGTGAAATGCCTTTCCTAATTCAATCTTTATCCACATTCATTTCAGTTGCTGGAGAAACCATCCTCGTTGATGGAGTCAGTGAGGAATTCCAGCTTGTTGACCTGCTTCCGAGCACCCACTATACCGTCACCATGTATGCCACTAGTGGTCCTCTTACCAGTGGCACCATCAGCACCAACTTCTCTACCCGTGAGCACATGGCCTTCTACATGCCTGATATCCCTGAAGGATTTTGTGGATCCCCAAAATGACCATGTCCTTCTGGTGGACTAGATCATAGACTGTAGGCTTTGGACACTGCAGCTATGAACTAATTTTATTTCAGCTGACCACAGCCCAAATCCAGTAAAACTGAGCTGCATCTTTCTGAATCACTACTGCTGTGTGATGTGACAGCAATAGAACCAGGCCAAGAGAGGCTGGTATTGGGAAGTTATCTGACCCAGAAAATCTGCCCAAAATTAGAGAGCTGGATGTGGGGGGTGAGAGCTGCTGGGTGGGGTCATGACCAGAAGAATAGTAGACTAAGGTACAATGTAGAAATGTTGTAAGAAGCAAGACACTGTGGTTGACCAGGCTCAGAGTCTGAGTTATACTGATAGATGTTCCAGAGGTCTAGGTGAGGGAAGCAGGGAGTACCTGCAAAGAGGATAATGGCACTGAACAATTATCTTTAGACCCAGGAGTGCCTTTTATGCTCCTGTCCAGGCCAGGACTAGGGTCAGCATGCAAGCAGCCCTGTGACCACAGAGGTGGGCAAGGAGATAACTGCACCTGAAATCAATCAGAAGGAGCAGGAGAGACAGGCACACCCTGGCATTTTCTCTTCTTTGCAGTCTTGGACCCCCCTGCCAACCTGACGGCTAGTGAAGTCACCAGACAAAGTGCATTGATCTCCTGGCAGCCTCCCAGGGCAGACATTGAGAACTACGTCTTGACATACAAATCCGCCGACGGAAGCCGCAAAGTAAGAGTTTGCTGAAAGAGGAGAACCATTTCTCTCATGTGAGGCCGTATGGAAACTGACCAATGGCATGACCTATGGAAATTACTGGGAAGGGGAGGGAAGCAATTCACAAGGAACAAATAAGGCTTCCCATCCTGGATCCACAGCCCTCTTCCAAAGAGAGCCCATCCAGGTGCTGGTAGCACATGCCTGTAATCCTAGCTACTCAGGAGACAAATATCAGGAGGATTGTGGGTCAAAGCCAGTCAGGGAAAATAGTTGGCAAGAACTTATCTTGAAAATACCCATCACAAAAAGGACTGGTGGAGTGGCTCAAGGTGAAGGCCCTGAGTTCAAGCCCCAGTACCACAAAAAGAGAGAGAGAGAGAAAAAGAGAGAGAGAGAGAGCTCTAGTCTGCAAGGCAGATGATCTGGGTGCTGGTCTTGGCTCTGCCATTGCTCTGGACATGAGCAGAGGCAAAGTTCTAAACCTCTGAGAGTCTCGGTGTCCTCTCTAGACAATCTACCCTGCATCTTCACTAGGTGGGGCACAGCTTTCATATTCTGATGCCAAACACTGGAAACTTCCACCTACATAGTATCTGAATGATTTTTCACTAATAGAGCCAAGCAAATATGAGCTGGATACCAAGTTCGACAGGTTATGCTTCAACAAGCACTGTAAAAGCAACATCTATATAGCCTACAGTCAATAGATGGTAAATTTTTGTTTTGTGTCATCATTCAAAACAATCCATTAGAGCACTGGTTTTCAGATTTTTTCTTGCAGTAGAATCTTTTTTAGAAGTAAAATCCTAAAGTCAAATATCCTTAATAGGTTGCAGCAGAGCTAATATATTTGATGGGCATAGGGAGGCTAGGATCCTCTGCTCTTGAGCAATCTGGAAACCACTGGGTTCAGCAATCCAGATATCTAAATTTATCCCGTGTGCATTTGTGAGATAGGAGCTGGGTTAAATCTCACATGGGAGCTGTCCACTCTGCTTATTGGCACAGTTTTCCCCTTATCACAGGATGGAAAGGATGCCAACAGCCACCGTAATGCTGACCTAGCTGGCCATAGGATTGGACTCCCCTTCCCCACTTTCCCATATGGCAAGTGGGTCAACTCCCTCCCCTCTCCTTTCCTGTGACTGTATGCAGGAGCTGATCGTGGATGCAGAGGACACCTGGATCCGATTAGAGGGACTGCTAGAGAACACAGACTACACGGTGCTCCTGCAGGCAGCTCAGGATGCTATGCGGAGCAGGCTCACCTCCACTGCCTTCACCACAGGTAAGAAGTTACAGCCACTTTGATGCCTTCTTCTCCCACTGTGACATTTGGCTCCACAGCAAGTCTGCTGAGACTAGGCCGGGAAGGAGTCTATCAAGAAACTCAGTTGTTTCCTCCTTTCCAAGGCCTGCAAGAAAACCCTGACTACCAAGGCAATCACAGGAACCAGCAACCAAGGCTCCAGTCCACCTGGACCCACTAAGTACACCATGTTAAGGCATCAGGCCCTGTCTTGTTCCAGTTGTCTGCATGTTTTCCCACAAAAGTTCTTCCTTCTTCTTTCCTTCCTCTGCAGCCTATTTTCTGAGACTCAGCTAGTAAAGGTGGCAGGTGTCAACCCTCAATATGAAATCTACAGCTCTTTTCCACACACAAAGCAATTTTGCATCCCCATAGTCTCAATTTAGTTCTTAAAACAACTGATGAGGGAAGCCTTTGTCCTCATTTCACACTTAACACATAAAAATCAAAGACTTCTTGTCTTGCTGGGTCAGAACTTGAGCCAAGGCCTGCTACTTCTACTCCTGCCTTCCCTCAATTAAAGCAGAAGACACTTGGAAAAAAATGCTTTTAGGCGCCCTACTGTCTATAACAGAAAATAACCTAACATCTACCCTTTGAGCTCTATTTGCCAGACTGTCTCATGTGCATTACATGTGTTATCCAGTATAACCCTCACAACCACAAATGTCAGATAGACTATTATCTCTGGTTTTTTACAGATAAGGAAATTAAGCTACAGAGAGGTGAGAACTCACCCAAAGTCTCATAGTTCCTAAGGGGAGGACTGGAGAGTTAATCCAGATATTCCAGCTCTAGGGTCTGGGCTGTTAATATTCCTCTCTGGCACCTCCCACTGTGCCTCTCTGTAGTTTGTAATGTGGGGCCACCCCACCCAGACTTTGAATACTCTCTTTGCTCCACATTCTGGGTATGCAAATCTGTGGGCAAATAGAAGCACATCTCGTACTGCTAGACACATACATGTCCGCTCGCCTCCTCACAGTACCAGGACAACTGGATCCCTCTTCACGCCCCAGAGCATAGCCCTCCATTCCCATAGAGGTGACAGAAAACCCTCCAGCCCCATTCAGGTGTCTTCCTTGCAACCTATTCATTCTAAATGACAAAGCAGAACGTTGATCAAATACCCAAAAAAGTCCCCAAGTGGGTCTGTATGGTAGTGAGGGAGATTATGAATGACTCCTCTTTTCCTTTCTTTTTGATAATTTTCAATACTTCAGAAAGTATTTGCAAGGAACACATGAATCAGGAAAACAAATATTTTAATTGAAAAATAAAAATAAGCTGTGATTACACAACCAGGACATGAATCCAAGACACATTTTTTTACCAAGTGAAACTTAGGAGAACACTTGTTCTATTTTCTGAGACTGAAGTCAATTACAATATTTCAAAGGTGTATTAAGAGCTAAACTGTTACCCCTTCTTGTTCAACCCTTCCCTGCACATTTACAGGTTAATTAAAGAGTCTTTCATGGTCCTTTTTCCAAAGTTACCACTTAAAGACCCATAAGTTAGAGTTTTCTACTGAATTAAGAATTTCTTTCACAGAAAAAGAACACATATGATGGATATATAAACAGAGCTCCCAATTTGCATGTTTATTAGTTTAAGTAAATCATTTTATCCCCTAGATACATGGTTTTAATGCTTACTCAGTGTAGTCTGAGCTTTTCATTCCCATCTTGGTGATGTCACAGCTGGCAGAAGTGAGCAGTAACCAATGTGCCAGAAATTTCTATGGTATCCTACAGCTGTGACTTGCTTCAGACCCACCTGAGCTGAAAAATATCCCAGCTTCTGTGTCCATCACTGCCTCTCTTAGATGCAATGCTCCAAGGGGTGTGTGAAATACTTTAGATGTGGGATTCCAGATCAAGTCAGGGGCTCAGTTGGATCCAATAAGCCAAGAGTTATCAACTTACATGGAAATCTGGGGAGGAGGTCAGGATAGTGGCTTTGTTTGGAGAACAGTGAAGAGGACTATCATGAAGTATTTAGATGTATTTAGGTTGTTTGGTCGGTTGATTGGTGTTACAAGACTCCAATTGACACTGGGGCATGACCACTGTCAACTCAGAAAGAAGAAAACCTAAGAGCTCAATTTCCTATGCAATGAATATAGTTACTGAGTTGCTTTTCCATGTTGAGTTTGTGGTACCACCTGCTACATAGCAAAAGGGTATCCATGTTTGGAATTTTTGCAGTTTTGCTGGAAAACTCGAATTTAAATGTAAGTCACTGATGCATACAAACCCTGCTGACTTTGTCTTGGAGATTTATCAGAACCCGCTGATAAATCTGGCTTCAGAATGAAAAATTCTTGGGCAGAAGTAATATATGTGAAAGTACCTTGTACAATGCCTGGCAGAAACAGACATGATAGATGTTGATTGAACTGAAAAGTTAAATCCTGGCTACAGAGTGCAGAAGAGGGGTCTCTGGTGAAGCAAAGCTTAAAGAGAAGGTTCTTAGCATCTCTGGTAGGCATGGCACAGGCAAAGAGATACGGCCTGCAGGGTATTAGGCCCAAAGTCCCTCTTAATTTCAGGCTCTATCTGCCACCTCCAGTGCACATTTCCCTGAATAAATAGGCTCCATAGTCATTTACATGTTAATATTAATGAGTGCTCACTGCCTATGCCAACTCCTTCCCCTGACCTTTCCTACCCCTGCTAAGAGCAAATTTTACTGAGGAAGAGAATACAAGTGCATCAGCTTCCTAAGAGTGGGGGTGGGGAAGTTAGCAAAAAAGGGAAAGAAACAAAAATGAAAGGCAGAATATTTTAAATTGCTTGCAAGATTGGATTGCTGCCAGCCTGGACCCAACAGGTATGAGTTACTTCAGCAGCTGAACAAGTCTGGGGAACACTGGAAGCCTACATGATGGCACCACACCCAGTATGATTTTTGAGATAGGGTCTTACTCACTTTTTTGCCTAGTCTGGTCTCAAACCACAATCCTCCTCTCTCCACCTCCCAGGTAGCTGAGATTACAGACATGAGCCATCATACCCAACCCAGCAGTATCCTAGTCTTAGGATGGATTGGTCAATCTCAGCGGATCATTTGGAGCATTTCTATGCCTTCTCTGGTCGAACAACAGAGTTTAAAATTTGGCTCCAAAATGGCTTCCATTCACTGAGTGGACCAACATAATGTATTCATTTCAAACATATGCTAACCTAATGGTCTAGGAAAGAGTTGAGATATAATAATAATAATAATAATAATAGCAATAGAGAAAAAAAAAAGAGCTGGCCCAAAAACCTCAAAAACCTCCTTTGATCAAGATACCTTCCCTCATTGTGTTCACGCCACACAACATAAGCCTATTTCAATCTTTCCATCATGTTAATAGCTTCCTGTTCTCTTGTCTCTAGTGTTTGCACAAAACTCTGGAGGGAATTAAATACAAGTAGTATGAAAGAAAAAATATGGATACATTATTTATAATTTACTGTCGCCTGAAATTTCATCCAAGGTCTACTTGTCTTTTAGAGACATGAATTTAAATGAGGAAACAAATATTCCCCGCAGAGCCACAAGGGCTTGGCAAAATGATCTTTTGAAAAGCAGGTTTCATTGTCTCTTTTAATACTAGAAAAAGCAAACAAGGCTCTCACTAAAGCTCATCCTGGGAGACAGTGAACACCATAAAATGGGTTGTCTTGACCTTGAGGTTAAGCGAAGACAATCATTTGCAGAGGTATCCAGAGATGAAAAGTTACCTTTTATTACCTTTGCCTCAGACCCTCCTATCACACATCCAGGCTGAGCTGCTCTGTGAGACTTTTTAGGAAAACTCTCACATCTTCGTCTAACATAAATTTAGTGTTTGAAGTTGTGAAAATTAACGAAGCTTGGCAAACTCTAGACTCTGGAATAATGGGTGGTAGGTTATGGAAATTCACCTAGTAATCCGAATTTCAATTGGAAGATGGATATAGTGGCCCACCATAATCCTAACACTGGGGAGGGAGAGACAGAACCACTTCAAGTTCCAGACCAGTTTGGGCTACATGACAAGGCTCTGTCTCAAAAAGAAAATAAAACCCAATGATAATAATAATAATTTCAGTTGGAAAAGAAAGCCTAGTGATCATTGTCAACTGCTATCTACCCTTATGTACACCAGATGTTCCCCTCCTCACCAAATGAAAGGCTGAGGGAGTTTCTCTCTATTCTACTACTTAGAAACAGTTTGAGTTCTTGCTTCATTGAGATAAGCAAACCCCTAAACAGAAAGGCCAACCTTCTCCTTTCTTTGAGATCTGGCTGTGGAGAAGGAACTCGTACACTAATCACACCATTTGAACAAAATAAACAGATGGATGAGTGTCAGATCTGAGGTCTGAATTAATCATACTGTCCAGTTTATTGCATGTCACTGACATCAAGCTCCAACAAGGTCCCTCTCTGTATTTACTCATTTATTTCCCCTTTGCTCCATCTCTTCTTCACTTTCCATGTGCAGCCATTCTAATGTGTCAAATGTACCTTTGTGGTTTTGAAAAATGTGTTCTTGTAAAATTTTTTGTTCTAAATATTTTAAATATATATAAGTGGTATTGGATCACATTACTCTTTCCCACTTCTCACAGTTTTTACTCGACACTAGTTTTTAGACCCTCTGTGTGGTTATGCATACATATATTCTTTTGCTTCCAACTGTTGTGAAATACTGCATGATGTGCACCCATCACATTTTACCTCTCTACTCTCCCAATAATGGACATCAGACTGTCTGTGAACTTCACCACCCCAAACAGTGCTGCAGTAGATCCCTTGTACATGGCCACCTATAGATCAGTGAGGCAATGCCTGTGGGTTATTTACCCAGAAGAGAAATTGCTGGGCCACAGCATATGTGTTGTGTAATTTAACTAAGTGCTACTATCCAGCTGTCCACTCTCTTCACTGGTATATGAAGGCTCCTATTTCCTGATGGCACACATCAATCCTAATGATTTAAC